ATATTAAAGAACACACTCTTAACCAATGGGCCAAAGAGGAAATCACAAGGGAAATTTTTAAACACTCCGACTAATTAAATGAAAACTCAGTATACCAGAACTTCGGAATATAGCATAGCAGAGCTAAGGGGGAAATTTATGACTGTGAAAAAGAAGAAACCTCTCCAATCACCAAACAACCTAACTTTATTTTCTAAGGAACTGGGAGGAAAAAAAAAAAAAAAGAACCAACCAAAGCCAAAGCTAGTGGAAAGAAAGGAAATCATAAAGATTAGAACAGATAAACTTTTAGCAAGCTTGACTAAGGGGAACAAAAGCTCATGTTACTACAATCTGAAATGAATTTTGTGGGGATGTTACTATCAATTCTGCAGGAAAAAAGGATTATAAGAGAGTTATGTGAACACCTATACACCAGTGGATTTAGTAACCTGGATGAAATTAATAATTTCTAGGAATATAAACTACCAAAACTGACTCAATAAAAAATTACCCTTGTCAAGTAAGAAAGTGAAGTCAGTTGTCTAGAACCTCCCAACAAAGAAAAGCCCTGGACCTGATGATGTCTTCTTTGGTGAATGCATTTAAAGAACTAGTATGATTCTCAGATTCTTCCCCAAAATCAGAGGGTGGAACGCTATGATGCCGGCATTGCTCTGGTACCGGAGCCAGGCAAACGCTGCAAGAGAAGGAAAACTACCGGGGGGGTTGAAAAATCCTGAACAGTTACCAGCAAATGAAATTTATCAGCATATTGAAAGGATTATATACTCGAGGGTGATTTCCCATATTGAAAAAGTGATCAGTTTACACAGCATACAGCAAGCACCGTGTACGTGAACAGAAGAAGAGGAACACCGACAGTAAACACACATGATCGTCTCAACTGATATAAAAAAAAAGGCTGACAAAATTCAGTTTCTCATGACTCAAAACACTAGAAATAGAAGGCAGTTACTTCAACATCATAAAAGCCATATGTGAATAGCGCACAGTGCACATCATAGTGTTGAGAGGCTGATAGCGTTTCCTCTTAGGTCAGGAACAAGGCAGGGATGCCCACTGCCACCACTTGTGTTCATAATGGTACTGGTGGAAGTTCTAGCCTGACCAGTTTGGCAAGAAGAAATAAAAGGCATCCAAATGGGAGAGGAAAGAGTAAAATTATTTTTGTTGTGATATGATCTCATACATGTAGACTATCTAAAGAGTTCCTATCATAAGTAAGTAAATAAAAACCTGTTAGAGCTAATAAACTAATCCAGCAGTTACAGGATAGAAAATGAACACACAAAACCCAGTTGCATTTCTATGTACTAATAACCAACTCTCCAAAACGAAAACTAAGAAAATAGTTTCACTTAAAACAGCATCAAAAAGAATAAAATTAGCTTGTTAGGAAAGACAAATACCATGATTTCACTCACATGTGGCATCTAAGAAATAAATGAGCAAAGGCAAAAAAAGAAACAAGGCGACTTTTTTTTTTTTTTTTTTTTTTACATTTTTTAAAACGTTTTATTTCTGAGAGAGAGCGAGAGACAGCATGAACAGGGAAGGGTCAGAGAGGGAGACACAGAATCCAAAGCAGGCTCCAGGCTCTGAGCTGTCAGCACAGAGCCCAATGCGGTGCTCGAACCCACGAACTGTGAGATCATGACCTGAGCCGCGGTCCAGCGCTCAACCGACTGAGCCACCCAGGCGCCCCAGAAGGCGCCTCTTAATTATAGAGGAGAAACTGATGGCCACCAGAGGGGATGCGCGTGGGGAGATGGGTGAAGTGGGTGATGGGGATCAAGGAGGGCACTTGTAGTCGTGAGCACTGGTTACGTATGGAAGCGTTGAATCACTCTATTGTACACCTGAAACTAGTATAAGACTGTTAACTGTACTGGAATTTAAAATAAAAAAATAAAAAATTAACTTGATACGTGAAAGACCTGTAAACTGAAAACCATAAAACTGCTCAAAAAATGGAAGGAAGATGTAAATAGATATCTCATGTTTTTGGTTTAGAAACTTAATATATGAACTCAAAGCCATCTACAGATTCAGTGCAATCTTTATTAAAATCTCAATGACCTCTTTTTGCAGAAATAGAAAATGCATTCTAAAATTTATATAGAAAATCATGGGATCCTGAAGTGTCAAAACAATCTTGAAAGCTCAAAATTAAGTGGGAGGTGTCCCACTGCTGATTTCAAAACTTACTACAAAGTTACAATAAAACATTGTTGATACTGGCATATGGATACACGTGTAGACCAATGGAATATAGAGCCCAGAAATTGACCTTCACATACATGGTCAGTTGGACTTCCACAGAGGTGCTAAGTCCACCTAGTGGTAAAAGGACAGCGTCTTCAACAAATGGTGACGGTACTGGAAAACCCGTACCTGCCAAAGAATGAACTTGACCCTTACTGTCACTGTGCAGAAAACTTAAAACTAATTTTAAGTAGTTTGCCCACCCATTGGGGCGCCTGGGTGGTTCAGTCTGTTAAGCGTCTGACTTCGGCTCAGGGCATGATCTCGTGGTTCGTGAGTTCAAGCCCCGTGTCGGACTCTGTGCTGGTAGCTCAGCCTGGAGGCTGCTTAGGATTCTGTGTGTCTCTCTCTCTGCCCCTTCCCCACTCGTGCTCACTCACTCTCAAAAAATGAACAAACGTTAAAAAATTTTAAAACTAATCAAAGACTTTAAGGGTTAAAACTAATAGAGTTCTTAGAAAAAAACATAAGGGACATTTTTGTGCATGGATTTGACAGTGATTTTGTAAATGTGACACCAAAAGTACAGACAGCAACAGGAAAAACAGGTAAATTGGATTTCCTCAAAATTAAAAAAATTCTGTGCTTGAGAGGACACCATCAGGAGTAAAAAGACAAGCCTCTGGATGAGAGAAAATACCTGTAAACCATACATCTAATGAGGCGTTAATGTTCAGAATATTTGAAGAACTCCTACAGCTTGAGGCGCCTCACTGCCTCAGTCGGTCGTGTGTGCAACTCTTGATCTCACAGCACTGAGTTCAGGCCCCATGTTGGGCATGGAGCTACTTAAACACACACACAAAACTCCTACAACTCCGCAACAAACAGCACGATTCAGCATGGGCACGGGACCTGAATAATTTCTTCAAAGAAAATATGCAAATGGACTAGCCCCCCCCCCCCAAAACGCACATCACTAATCATTGGGGAAATAGAAGTTAAACCAGCAGCGAGATGCCACCTCACATTGACTGTGATGGCTCCTGAGTCCTTTTTTTAATGTTAATGTATTTATTCTGAGAGAGAGTATGAGTTGGGGAGGGGCCGAGAGAGAAGGAGAGAGAGAATCGCAAGCAGGCTCCGTGCTGTCAGCACAGAGTCGATGAGGGGCTCCATCCCACGAACTGTGAGATCATGATCTGAGCCAAAACCGGGAGCCAGACGGACGCGCAGTCACCTGAGCCACCCAGGGCGCGCCCCCCCCCCCCCCCCCCCCCCCCCGTGATGGCCGTGATTTAAAAAACAACAGGAGGTGAAATAGAACCTCTCGGGTTTGCCACCGAGAAGGGAGGGAGTGCCGGTGCTACGGGAAGCGGTTTGGGGGCGCCTGAAGAGCTGAAACCGGGGATTCCTTGATGTGTGGGCAGAACCACTCTTAGGTACAACCCGGAAGATTTGAAAACAGGATCTCGGAACAGATATTCCTACACCGTTGTTCGTCGGAGAATTATTCACAGCAGTCAGAAAGTAGGAATAACCCACATCATCAACAGGTAAAAGGATGAGCAGAATTTGTTGTTTAAGTGCAGCGGTGTATTATTCACTGTACGAAGGAATGAAGTTCTGTGCACGCCACAGCATGGATGAACCTTGAAGACGTACGGAGCTGAGCCAGACACGAAAGGACAAATGCTGTATGATCCCACTTCGCGAGCTATTTAGAAAAGGAAAATTCATGGACACAAAGTGGAGATCACTAGGGGCCAGGGGAGCGGCCTGGGGAGCTCTTGCGTGATCTGTATGGGGTTTCCGCTTGCTGTGATGAAAAAGTTCTGGAAGTAGATGGTGGTGATGTTGCACCACAGTGTGATGTTCTTACAAAAGAGGAAATTAAGATCAGTATCTTCTCTTCATACAAACTCTTCCTCTCAAATAAAGCCAGACTGCGCCTTAATGGACAGATTTCTGCCCTTGAAATATGATTTCATAGTTACTTTGAGGTTTGTAAGCAGCAACAGGGAAACTGAGAAGCTCTATTCTAATTTTTTTTTTAATGTTTTGTTTATTTCTGAGAGAGAGAGCAAGCGACAGCATGAGCAGGGGAGGGTCAGAGAGAGAGGGAGATACAGAATCTGAAGCAGGTTCCAGGCTGTGAGCACAGAGTCTGATGCGGGGCTCGAACCCATGAACCGTGAGATCATGACCTGAGCCGAAGTTGGATGCTTAACCGACTGAGCCACCTAGGTGCCCTGAGAAGCTCTATTCTAAACAAACGGTCCTAATCAAGGAAGAATAAACTTACGTAAACTGATTTGCCACCCCGTAGCGTGCTCAGCCGCGCAGCGTGGTGCGGGAGGAAAGCACATAGTTGTGGCATGTGGAATGTTCATCCCTTTTCCTTTTTGATCAGCGTAGTTGTGTCCTTCACCTTGAGTTACTCTTCAGCAGGGATCTCTCTAAATGTCGTCTGAAGCAAGCTGCCCATCGGTGATCCGGTTTGGCAGGTGGATCTTTATCTTGTGCAAATCGTGCGAGCATAGTTTCGGTCCTGTTAAGTCTACTCTTCAGTAGTGTAACCTTTCAAGTAGAAGCAGTGTTGCGAAACTTTGGCACTTCTGTTCCTTAGCATTTCCTGCCGGGCCCGAACTTGAGCACCACAGTTCCTCATTTTACCCGACTCCGTTAGCTTTTGTGCCTGCCCCCCGCCTGGCGGCTCATTTTATGTGTCGGCCTGACTGGGGCCGGGACGCGCGCTTATTTGGGTACGACGTCACTCTGGCTGTATCAGTGAGGGTCTTTCTGGATGAGATGAGCACTTGAGTGTGTAGACTGAGCGGCGCATGTCGCCCTCGCCCGGTCCGTAGGGCCCTCACTGGAACGAAGGCTGAGCGCGAGAGAACTCACTCCGTCTGCTGTTCTCCTGCCTCTCACCCCGCCTGGGTCCTCGGCTGGCGGCTCTCCTGCTTGTCGGGCCCTCAGCCCACCCGTCTCGGGACTCCTTGGCCTCCATAATCACGTGAGCTGCTTCCTTGTAATAAGTGTCATATATGTAAATTTTATGTATGTATGTGTATTCTCGTGTGTGTGTTTATGTGATCGTATATATTATTACATATATAAATCTCATATATACGAAGTGTATTTTTTAAGTTTATTTTTAGCAACATACTTTTTTTTTTTAATTTTTTTTTAATGTTTTATTTATTTCTAGGAGAGAGAGAGAGACAGCGTGAGCAGGGGAGGGTCAGAGAGAGAGGGAGTCACAGACTGAAACAGGCTCCAGGCTCTGAGCTGGCAGTCAGCACAGAGTCCGACGCGGGGCTCGAACCCACGAACCGCGAGATCATGACCTAAGCGAAAGTCGGACGCTTAACCGACTAAGCCACCCAGGCGCCCCTATACTTTTTTTTTTTTAAGTTTATTTTCAGAGAGGGAAAGAGCAAGCAGGGGAGAGGTAGAGGGAGACAGAATCCCAAGCGCTGTCAGTGCAGAGCCTGATGCGGGGCTCGAACTCACAACCTGTGAGATCATGACCTGAGCCGAGATCAAGAATCCGATGCTTTGCTGACGGAGCCACCCAGGTGCCCCTTTACATCGTATTTTAAATGTCGCTGGAAGGTAACGGGCAAAATAGGGGCTTTTATGATGCCAGCAGAGCCATTCAGTTCCGTTCTCCTCCTTGGTGAACCTGCTGCTTCTGTGTTTCGGGAGAACCCTGACTAATGAACTTGGCATTCGTAGCGTCACTCTTTCCTAGAGTCAGGCCCCAAGGTGTCCTTTACATGGCTCTGTGTGTCGGATGGTTCTTAGAAGTCAGGAGCTAGCGCCTGCTTTGTGAACAGCCACGGGTACTCTGGCAGAAAGTTAGTCACCTCGCCCTAAAGTCACCTGGCCCACAGGCTTTTGCTAGTTAAGCCTTGAATACAAGTGAGGAAGTTCCACCCAGCAACCGTGACAGAAGTGAGGTGTAGAAATGAGAGGATCGGTTGCTTTTGGGAGTGAGAGCTATAGGAAAACACCCCGTCTCCAGGCTAACGGACTCAAACCGTGTGGGAATAGTGGTAACTGAAAGCCTCTAAAAGCTCGTCGTGTTTGTAGGAGCGGCAGGACACCGGCGCGTCGCCCTCTGCGGTCCGTCCCTGCGGACTTCACGTGAGGTGTGTGCACGTGCGGCGGCCGGTCGTGTACCAGGCCGCTTACCTGCTTACACGTGGCTGCTCCCTGCAGCCCTGAGAGTGGGCAGGAAGTCTCTCTCTCCCATGTGAAGAAGGAAATCGGATTGTAGATGCAAGGATTTGTTTGTAAAGCTGGTAAGGTTAAAATGGTAAATTGCATGTTCTGCATATTTTGCCACAGTAAGTCATAATGTAAATTATAATAAAGTAAGTGCTTTCTATAACTTTATGCTAGTAAATTTGAAAACCTGTTGGGGTGAGGATACTCTTGGCAATATTGAGCTGCAAATGATGGGTCAGTGTGTTCTAGGCTGCAGGTAGGTTTTGTTGTGTGGAGATTAAAGATGAAAAAGGCTGAGGCGGAAAGGACAAGGGAAGGGAAAACAGCGGAAACGTTAAGGATTTCTGCTCACTGTTCCTCAAGAGTTAGCAGGAATGTTCACCAGGGCGCCTGGGTAGCTCCGTCGGTTACGCATCCAACTCTCGATTTTGGCTCGGGTCATGCTGTGAGATGGAGCGCCACACCTCTTCGTCGGGCTCCGTGCCGGGCATGGAGCCTGCTTGAGACGCGCTCTCGCTCTCCCTCCGCCCCTCCCCTGCTTGTGCTGGTACTCTCATTCTCTCTAGGGGGGAAAAAAAAGTTTACTAGGATTTGTTCCCTTTCGAGCTCTTCTGCTTCATTGCAGTACACTAAGCAAACCGTGTTATTTAGTATTCTTTGTTACAAACCCCTCCCACACTTCTTAACTTTCTGAAGTCTTATCACGGGCACAACCCTCTAAAACAGAACCAAAAAGGAGGGAATTGTATAGAAGCAAAGGAGTACTTAAATCTGAGTGAGTGGGGAGGCCTTCTTGTCTTGGGGGAGCCTGTCAGCTGGCTAAGCACCCCTGAACCCCTGAAGTACTTGGGAAGGTTTTGCTCGAGGCACTTCTGCATGTCGAAGGCCCTTGGCAGGTCTGACAGCCACGGTGAAGTTGGGGGGTCCTGGGTTACGGGTCAGAAACTGTAACCAGATTGTGATCTGGTCCGAGGCCCTGCTCACACAGCACTGCTTCAGGGAGCCACTCTTCCTCTGGTGAGGAGCAGCCGTCTCTTTCTAAAATGTTCTATTATGGGGGGCCTGGGTGGCTCAGTCAGTTGAGCGGCTGACTCCGTCTCAGGTCAGGATCTCACAGTTTGTGGGTTCGAGGCCTGCATCAGGCTGTGCGCTGACATCTCAGAGCCTGGAGCCTTCTTCATGTTCTCTGTCTCCTCGTCTCTGCCCCTTCCCCACTCATGCTGTCTGTCTGTCTCTCTCTCAAAAATAAACATTAAAAAAAATTTTTTTTTTTAATTAAAATAAAATGTTCTGTTAAGGGGCACCTGAGCGGATCAGGCATTTAAGCGTTCGACTCTTGGTTTCAGCTCAGGTCATGGTCTCACGGTTTGTGGGTTTGAGCCCCGCGTTGGCCTCTGCTCTGACAGCAGGGAACCTGCTTGGGATTCTCTCTCCCTCTCTCTCTGCCTCTCCCCTGCGTGTGCGCTGTCTCTCTCTCTCTAAACATTTAATAAACTGTTCTATTATGAAAAAATTCAAGTAAATAGAATCACAAAATACATAAACACACTACTACCTGATTTCAGCAGCTGCTCCTTGAGCAGAGCAGGGGGTTAGGGTACCGATTCCCCACGTGGTCGAATTCAAGTATAACTTCTGACTCCCTATTAGTAGATGACTAGTGACCAGAGCCCCACCCATAAACACTTGTATGTTACATGTATTATACGTTGTGTTCTTCTAATGAAATAACCTAGAGAAAAGAAAATGTTACGAAAAGAGAGAAGATATATTTACAGTGCTGTGCTGTAAAAAGTACGCATGGAAGTGGACCCACGCAGTTCAAACCTGTGGTGTTGAAAGGTCAAGACTGTTTGCTCTCTCTGTCCTTTTGGTTGACCTAATACAAAGTAAAGTAGTATGAACCATGACCTTTCACCCCTAAACGCTCAAGTCTTTTCATCTAGAGTGTGATCCCTTTCCCTCCTCCCTTTTATGTCATTGACTTTGGAAAGATGGAGCCAATTGTCTTAACAGAATGTTCCAGGTTCTGGGTTTGGCTGGTTGCATCCTTTGATGTTCAGTGCTCCTCTAGCCCTGGTATTTCTGGTGCACTGGAAAGTACATCTGAGCTTGGGTAAATTAGGTCTTGTGTTTTTGACAAGAATATTTTGTAATGTCTGATCGTCCCACCATTGGTGAAGGTTAAGTTTAGTCGCTGTGTGAGGACGGTCCCGGTTCTGAAGCAGGCCCCAGGCTCTGAGCACAGCAGTGTTAATGTTGCTTTTCTGCATGTGCGAGTCGAGAGGCCAGTTGAAGACAGAAGTTTGTTCAGTTTGGGAGGCGTTATTTGCGTTACTCATGGACGGGAGAAGGAGCTGGAAGGCCTTTCCAGGTGAAAGCAGTGTCGGCCGGTAGAGTCAGAAGTGGAAACGTCATCGCGTGGTGTGTGGTGGTGGCGGTCCCTGCCCTGCCCGTCGCTCACGTGGACCCTCACGGGGACCGGCTGAGACGACCTCCGGCAAGGGCAAGGGCAAGGGCGCTGGGGAGACCCCGGGGCCTGCCGCGGGGAAGGTTGCCCTCCCTGGGGAGCACCTGTGCGCCTTCTCCTCTCTCCTCGCTGTCGGACTTTCCTAGGTTGTCTGAGGGCCCAAATTGTTTCCTTGCTGGGAGTTGGCACTGTGTTCACCAGCTGGTACCATTTGGGCCGTTTCCTGAATGCTTGCGTGCAAGTTTTGTGTGGACAGGTTACGTTTCGTTCCTCTTGGGTTCGTGTCTAGGGCTGGAATTGCTGGGTCATAAGGTGACTCTATGTTTAACTTTGTTTTTTTAAGGTTTATTTGTTTACTTTTGAGAGAGAAAGAGAGTGCAGAGGGGCAGTGAGAGGGGTACAGAGGATCTGAAACGGGCTCCGTGCCGACAGCACAAACCGTGAGCTCGTGACATGAGCCGGAGTCGGATGCCTGCCTGCCTGAGCCCCCCCGGCGCCCCTGTGTGTAGCTTTAGGGACTGGCAGCCTTTTGCAGAGCGGCCGCACAGGTTTCCCTTCGCGCCGGCAGTGTGGGACTTCCGGTGTCCCCACTTGCTCCTCGGCACTTGTTTCTGTGTGTCCTTTCGATTGCAGTCATCCTAGCGGATAGGAAGTGTGCCCTTCTGTTCTTTCCACTGACACCTGGGGCTGACTTGCCTTGCCTGGCGCCGCTTAGCCACGCCGCGTGCCGGCGCTGGAGCCACTGGGAGTGGAATGAGCTCCGTGGAATCTGGGTGCTTCGGCTCCTCCTGGGGATGGACAGCTTCAGCGAGTGAGTTGCTCACCTCTAGGCCGATCAGGAGTTGCTGGGTTTGGTTCACCGTACAAGAGGGATGCTCCTAGTAGGAGCCGGGGCCGGAGGGGGGGCGGGGAGAGGCAGGTTACAGAGGAAGGGGAATGTGGTTGTGATTACCAAACAGACCGAGGGGGGCCGGGGCCACGCCTGGGAGGGCTCTAAGAGTTAGCCCGAGGAGCTCTGACTTGGGGAGCTCACCTTATGCATGACGTTATGTAGCCAAGCAGGGGGACTCTGGTGTGGGGCTACGAAGATAAAGTGCAGGAAGGAATGAGGATTCCCAGTGAGGTTGTGCCAATGAAAAGGAGAGGCTCGGGGGTCGTTAGTTACAGTAGGACTGGATCAGATGTAATGCTTAGAGTAAAGGAGCGTAGGAGATAGTTGTGAGTCTGAGCACAGACTTGGGTGGGTGGAAGGTTTCTGTATGTGGTGTGACTTTAGATGCCAGCAGGACCAGCGTGTGTGCATCCGGTAA